GCTGAACTCACGGTCTCTGTAGAAGAGGAGATGGTCTGCTGAGAAGCTCCAGTCAGAGGAGCCCCATTCTGATTAATATAGGCTCAGGACTTCCTCTTCCACTGGAGAAAAACACCTCCATGAAACCAGGGCAAGTCAAGATGATCCCAAGATCAGGTCAGTCTGACACACACACACACACACACACACACATCTGTGACCTCGCTTCTGATTCTTGATGACAGCAGCATATTTCAGACCACCACTGACATGACAGTGTCATGTCATAAGGTTTACTTTTGAGGCCTAAAATACAACTCTTTATTGTGCAAAAATAACATCATAAAGTTCCCAAATGCCATTTTAACTTACATAATTCTTAAAGGGGTCATAGGATGCCCATTTTCCACAAGTTGATATGATTCTTTGGGGTCTTAATGAAAAGTCTGTAACATAGTTTGGTTAAAATTTCTCAATACAACTTGTAAAAGTGCGTGTAGCATCCTATGACACCTTTAAGAGGTTTTATGTTTCAGTCACAAGATTATCTGGAATGGCCTTCAAGAACATAAACACTCAATCAATAGGGAAGATGAAAATGAAATATTGATGAAATATCATACCTCAGATAAAATGTTTGTGATGATGACTTCTCAGAATATTGATAATATTAAACTAGCAAATGGGACTGACTAATAAACTAACAGCCTAGAATCAATGTTTCTATAATACAACAAATCAAACCTGTTCATATTAACTTAAATGCAGTCAAACACAACGTAAAAGTGTGATAAAATGGAACACTTGAGATTACTTTGAGTGCAATATAACTAGATTGAAAAGAAAATGGTAATGTCATAACTGGTAGCAGCTGTCAAACCTGAAATACTACACATAAAGAAGTAATAAAAGATAAAGACAGCTACATCTGGGAGAATTTCAGTTGAATATATAAAATCATTCTGAACTGATCGCATCTGAGGCATTAAACTAGTTTTCAGCAGGGTGTGTGAGACGCTGTTCTTAGAAAAGTATAAAAAATATACCTCATTATTTCAGAGTTCAGTTTTATAAAAATATCTTGACCTGTTGAATATCAGGAAGTGTCTTTGAGGGCATGCCAATAAAGCCGTGGTAGAAAATATGGGGAAATGAAACTTGTGTTTGGCCCAAATGACAAGTTAAGTTGCCGTGTCTTTCAATTTCAGTATAAATTCAGAAGAAGTTAGAAAAAAAAAATCTGGTTCCAAAGCAACCTAAAAACATAATTGTGAGAAATTACTTTGCTCAGAGTCCTGCGTCATGAAATAAGATTGCAGAATTAAAGAAAAGTAGCGTTGGTAATTTAAAAAAAGTTCTAAAATGATGTTGCAGAAATGTGTAAATTCAAACTTTAAAAGCCCAGTTCCATCTAATCAGTGTTGCCAGCTAATTGTCAGGTAAAGTTGCTAAAGGCAGGTCGGTCGTTTTCTTGCTAAATGATGTTGTGACATCAGATGATGATGTCATTATTTAACCATGACACAAAACTGCGTCATTGCGTAGAATACACATTGAAATTTCTCAAATCTCAGCAAAGAATATAATTTGAAATATGTTCATTTAGATTTGTTTGTAAAAAATAATATAAACGTTTAATATATATCATTTGTAAAAGTAATAGGCCTATAAACACATTTTTATTACATATTTTAATTGTTAAATACACTACCAGTCAAAAGTTTTTGAACAGTATGCTTTTTGATGTTTTTTAAAGAAGTCTCTCTTCTGCTCACCGAGCCTGCATTTATTTGATCCAAAGTACAGCAAAAACAGTACAATTTGGAAATATTTGTACTGTTTAAAATAACTGTTTTCTATTTGAATATTATTTTAAAATGTAATCTATTCCTGTGATTTCAAAACTGCATTTTTAGCATGAACATTGAAACGTTAAAAAGTTACACATATTTGAACAATCATATTTTATGTATTTGATGTAAAACTACACATGGTTAACAATTATAGTTTTAATCAAGTTAAATGCTACACTCTAAAATAGGGCACAGTGTAATGTGAGGGCATTTTCTGTATGAATTTTTCACCAGCATTTTACCTGTATTTTAAATTACACAATTGCAATTAGATAGATAGACAGACAGACAGATAAATAGATAGATAGATAGATAGATAGATAGATGATAGATAGAGAAAATAAAATGA